ATTACCTTACTAAAGGTGATGTATGCTGCCTTCAGTTACCTTACTAAAGGTGATGTATGCTACCTTCAGTTACCTTATTAAAGGTGATGTATGCTGCCTTCAGTTACCTTACTAAAGGTGATGTATGCTACCTTCAGTTACCTTATTAAAGGTGATGTATGCTACCTTCAGTTACCTTATTAAAAGTGATGTATGCTGACTTCAGTTACCTTATTAAAAGTGATGTATGCTACCTTCAGTTACCTTATTAAAAGTGATGTATGCTACCTTCAGTTTCCTTATTAAAAGTGTTATATACTGTATTAATCCCTCTTGCTAAAAGTAACTACTTTTCAACAAATAGCACTGATCTATATTATTTAGATAAAACCTTCATTTCCATTTACTCTTTTACTTAGAATCAATCATTTTCAGTGAAACCAATATTCACAGTCATTTGAGAAATATCATGTGTAACTTAAAAAACATTACTTGCGTAGTTGTTAGCCTTAACTTGTGGAACTCCATTATTCATTTAAAAAATTGACAGTCATATTTGGGATAATCTCATGACTACTGTGTTACTACACAAAATTTTCAAAAATTCCAGGGTAAATCTCAAATTCTAAGAAATCCAGTAATTTTAGATACTTCAGCAATTCCAGGTCATAAGGGACAAAGAACATCATTAATTTAATAATGTACAATTCACTTTTTCTTTAAAAGTTAATCGAAAATAGAACTATTTTCTGTCATGCCACACAGTTCAATTTGTCTTTAGTCTTACCTTTTTCTTTAGTAAGTTGATCAAAAACAGAATTTTTTTCTGCCAAATCAGCCTTTATTGTAGCTTCTAAAAGAGTTATTTGGTGCCTGAGAGTTTTCTCCATGGAAGCTGCTTGTTCATTTCTATCTATTTTTGGTTCTAAAGCACTATAGAAAACATGAGAGTTAGAAATTCTCTGAATATATATTCAAGTATATATGAAGAGTTTCAACTGAACTAAAAAAATAGTGTTAAAGAACATCCGTGATATTGTTAGTGATTCTTTCATAACCAAAGATCTTATCTGAGTTATTGACAAGTCAACATTCAAAATATTTATTTACATACATAAATTCAACTTAGAAATCTCAAGAATCTTAGAAATACCTAAACTAGATCTGTAATCTGAATATCAAATAGTTAATCGTTTTAATTGTGTTTCAAGTTTCCTGACTAAAGTTAAACATAACCTGAGTAATTGTTTGTTTTTTACAGGTTATTAAGTAAAACCTTTCTTGAATTAAATTTTTCAAACATTAAATCATTTTCTAAATTTTAATTTAAAATACTAAAGTAAAAACGAAAGGCAGAGCTTGTCAGTCCAAGACAAAACAGTTCAAAACAAATTTATATCTACTGCTCCCCAGCTATTGAGAATCAAGTTGAACACTTTTTACATCATCAAAAACAGTGAAATTCATTTATACAATTAAAAAAGCCCAGTTAAACCATCACAAAAATAAGTCAACAGCTTAGTTAAACTATTTAAGGTTAACTGTTCAGCCGAACCCTTTACAAAACTAAGTTAACGACTCTGCCAAACAATTATAAAACTGAGTAAATGGTTTCATCAAACTATCACAAAACTAAGTTAACTTCTAAATCAAATCATCAAGTTAAACTCTTTATACAACTAAGATAAGTACTTATTAGTCAAACATCGTAAACAAATAATGTGGATTAAATTATGAAAATGAACCAAAATATTCATAAAACATTATATCCCTGAATTATAAAATGAATAATCTGAATTTGATACAATCATTATATCTCAGAATTACTAACTACATAGTCTGAATGTCATACAATTAATTATTGTAACTGCACTCCTAGTGCAGTCAAGAAAATTAACAATTCTTTCAAAATGATCTAAATTTCTGTTTTCAATCCATTGAAGCAAATCACTTAGAAAAAAATAATCTTATCAATACATTTCTAAAAATAATCTCAAAAAAGTTTAAACTGAAAATACAAACACTGTCTTTAATAAAGTTTTAAGATGGCCACATCAGTAGAAACACACCATCAGGTGACTTAAGGTGTTGTTAGACAATGTCAAAAGTACAGGCATTATCAAATTTGAAAAATCAGATGCTTCTGTCAAACAAAGGAATCATCCTGGTACAAGACTCCAACAGTCTATACTCACAAGGAATTGTCTTGGTACAAGACTCCAACAGTCTATACTCACAAGGAATCATCTTGTTACAAGACTCCGACAGTCTATACTCACAAGGAATCATCTTGGTACAAGACTCCAACAGTCTATACTCACAAGGAATCATCTTGTTACAAGACTCCAACAGTCTATACTCACAAGGAATCATCCTGGTACAAGACTCCAACAGTCTATACTCACAAGGAATCATCCTGGTACAAGACTCCAACAGTCTATACTCACAAGGAATCATC